TCTCTCTCTCTCTCTCTCTCTCTCTCTCTCTCTCTCTCTCTCTCTCTCTCTCTTCGTCTCTCCCTGTGTTACTCCCTTCCATTTTCTTATCCTTCATCATTTCGAGAAATGACGGGACTTTCCTCCATAACATGAAGAACCTTTTTAGTAAATCGATTTCTTCTTCTCCCCCGCGCTTCCCTATTTTCTCAATCTTTCAGGTTTTTAGTTATAGATAATGGAGGAAGATGAGGAGGAAGAGGAGGAGGAGGACAAAGAAGCCACAATCTTCAATCTGTTCATCGTCATGCTTCTTCGATCTGTCTCCATTCTCAACGATTTACGTCAACTATAGGAAAAGCAAGAAAAAAAAAAAATGAAAGAAAAAGGAATAGAAATGATATTGATAAATGTAACATTTAAAAATTAACCATTTGTAAGTATTCCGAGTTAAAAGAAGTTTTCTGTTTTTTGTCATTTTAATGTGCTAAATTCGATTGAAAAAAATTGACCCTTTTTTGCTTTTTCCTTTTCCTGTCATCTAAAAATCTTAAAAGAATCCATTTTTCTCTCTCTTCCACTTTCTTTCCTTCTGTTTCTAATATTTCTTTTTATTTTTTTCAGAAAAAGAAAAATAATTGCTAGCGCTAACAGTTTATTGTCATTACTACTTTTTACTTTAAAGTGGTTTAAATTACTTTAAATTATACCATTAAACATACTCCCTAATCTCTGTTCGAAAAAAAATAATTTTAGGCTAAAAAAAGCAGCCAATTCAAGCACATAATTATTTCTCATAAGCGATCCATTTTTTGCTTGGCTTGGATCATTTTAGCTGTGGCAAACATTCTCTCAAATTTTTTTTTTTTTGTAGTCAGCGAACTTCCGGAATTAACCAAAACAAGTTAACCTTTTTGCTATTCCTTCTTCCGGATATACTTTTCATTCTTCATTGATTTCTTTCATTTGAAGTTTCTGCTACTATTTTGGTATAAATAGATATGTACAGCTTAATTGCAGTTTCAAATATCTCACAAAAACCGACCGCTCCTATATATTTTCATTATAAAATATATTCTCATTATAAAAGTGGTGAAGGATTAATTATATCTGTGAGATTATCAATTGATATTAAAAGGATAAATCTCGAATTTGTATTTCAATCGTTACATTTTATTCATTAAATTTCATAGCTCGAAAAATTTCCCATTTTTGATCTTCGATAAATGATTTAAGCAAATGATTTATACCGTATGCGCATATTACCCATGCGTAAGATCAGATAGAAGTAATGCTACTGATATGTTTGTCGAGTGATATGAAGAAATGTTAATTTTCAAAAACTGTACAAATTTTTCGTAATTTTTAGTTTTTATTAAAATTACTTTTTATTCAAAATGTTAAAAACGACACTTAAAAAAAAGAAACCAATTTTAATAATCGAAAAACTATATAGATATAAATTCACTGAACAATTTTATGATTTAAAACTACCAAGGGAGAAGTTAAGTATTTGGCCGAAAGTAGAAATTCATAAACTTTTCAAATATAACATCCAAATCCGCCGATCCTAACAAAAATCGCGGTTCAAAATTTTCAAGATAACATTTTTCATCATATCGTTCGAAATGCTTATATGAATATTTTAAGACTTTGAAATGCTTCTATAAGAATTTTTAAAAAGTTATGCGCTATGTTATGGATTAAATTTTACTATTTCAATCTTCTTTGACGAATGTTTTATTTAGAAACCTTTTTTTCTTTTTTAAAAGCTTTTATTGCTAATCTTTTACAAACTTTATGCAAGACATCTCTGCTAAGTACATACTTCCCGCATATGCCACTACGATGGCATTCTCAATGATAATTTTCTGTAACTCCGGTAAATCTCATTATTGCGAAATAATAATTATCATTTAAGCCTTCCTTTAAGCATTGCTTTTTGATTGTTCAAGATCTTCTGCCTCCAGTAATCATTGCAATGGAATGTTTATGAGTAAACAAATATTTGTAATTGACTGCTTGAATAGGTGAAAAAAAAGATTGAGGTGTTATGTCTAATGTTTAATGATAATATCAGTTTATCAGCATCGTTTCTGTTTATACCCAAATTTTGTGAAAACTGTTGAAGGAAAGCAAACAATTATAATAAATATTATAATAAATAAAATAAAGAAGGAAGCCAATTTGAAATGTCACACATAATTACTAGTGACAAAATACAAATCAGAAGTAATTAAATGAGTGGTTTGAGGATTTAATTTATCAAATGTTACCGACAATTTTTCTATAATGAAATACAATTAGATGGGTGGTAAGATAAACATTATTTGTGCATTGACTTCTTTTTCATTTAAAATGTTAACATTTGTTTTAGATTTTTTTTCCCGATTGACCATAATTCCCTCAGAAACCACTTGGATCGGTTGAAATTGCTCGGATCAGTTGGAATTGTTTGGACCAATTGGAACTGCTCCGATCAGTTGGAATTGTTTGGACCAATTGGAACTGCTCCGATCAGTTGGAATTGTTCGGATCAGCTCGGTTCCAAACAAATTATATTCAATAATGTATTGTGTTGAGCAAATTCCTTGCATATATTCAAATAAATTTTTTCCAGTTTCTCTAATTAAATATTTTTTAACAATTAAATTAAAAGATTTCAATGAAAAAAGTTTTTTGTGAAATTCAACTGAATTGTCTGCCAGATGGAAAAAAGAAAAAACTGTTATAATTACATACAACTATATTACATATCTGCAATTAGTTTTCTTGTTATCCAAAAAAAAGTCATTGTTAAAAAATTTGTTAATTTATGTGATTTTCAATTTTTTATTAATTTTGTTTGTCACCTACAGAGATTGTTATTTCAAAATGTTAAAAGTTTCTTTTTTTTGAGTGCCTTAACAAACTTCTTAAATTAGAAATAGTACCATTGATTTTTTCTCAAAATTCGATGTTTATTTCATTTGTTTGGTTCGTATTCCGCAACTCAAAGCTATGAAATTTCATTAAAGAAACATAAACAGCAATAAAAGAACAAAGCAAAGTAAAAGCAAAAAGAGAGCGTTTATGCAACCTTTCGAAGGTTTAGTTTCCTTCGGTGAGTTATCTGAGTAAAACTTTGCAAATCATCAAGTTTGGCGATTCTTTTTCCACTTCTAAAAAGTTTTTTTGAACATTTTCTGATTGAAATTCATGTTAATAATATACCATCCAAAGCACACTGCCATACTAATAATTTGTATGATAATTTTTGATAATACTGCAATAATCCTAAGCAAGTTAAGTGATCGTTTCATCCGAAACTCAGCGAAAAATTCCTTTCGAACACACTTCTATCGCTTCATTCTCGATAATATTGAAATCAATTTAGAAATGTTGAAATCATTTGTGAAATATTATTCGCTATTTGATATCTTAAAGACTGCTTCTTATTTGAAACTTAATGTTATCAGCAAAGAGCAAACAATGATTTCACTCGAGCAAAATTTTGCTTTTTTTTGATATAATCCGAAGAAAAATCTTAAAATTTAATGACCAATGATCATCAACACCTGTCTATTTCTTCAAATCATTTTGGTCAGCATTATTTTTGACAAATATCTTTTTTTTTTTTTCAAACTGATACTCTGTTTATGTTACGAATATTTACAAACAAATCTTTCTTACGAATGCAAATTGAGGTATGTTAAGTAATTTTAAGAATTAAAAAAATGAACAAATTTCATTTCAATTTTCCAAATCAATAGATAACGGTTGAAAGAGTAAAGTAATTGTTCAACGATTAACTTCAAATAACATTCCATTTACACAATTCCTAATTTAATATTGTCTTCACGTGTTTACGTGTGTGCATGTAAAAGCATAAATGTGTGTACATATGTGTATGTTTGTGCCCATGAATGAACATACACGTTTATGCATACACGTACGTGTAGCGTGCCAACACGGAATGAGGTTCAAATGATTCATTCTTCTTCTGTACAGCAACTTTCAGCTACTGCATATTTTTCTATGTGACATCCTTCGATAGAAAGTAATTCACAAGATTCAACAAAAAAAAAAAAAAAAA